ATCTTGAACTCTATCAAAGAACCAAACTTGATGCCTTTGTTCAAATGAGCATTCTCATCCTCATTTTCTGGTCGAGGATCACTAAATTTGGGGCACGGCGTTGGCTCGGACAACCATAATCTCATCCCACCATCAACGACTGCATTGTCCGCAAGACTCACATCTCTAAACAAAGACAGCCCTCTCTCCTTGCCGGTCACCTTGTAGATTCCGTTTTCTTGCGCAGTCAACCCATCCTCATCCAACTCTTCCTCCGGACCCTCGTCATCCGAGTTATACCCACACATAAGGTTACAAGGGAGGGTACGATCCATGTCTTGTTGCCGCACAATGACATCCAAGTTACCAATTGGATTGTAATGGATCTCTTCATTCTCCGAGTAAACATCCTCCTCTAGAGCAACAATAGCATCATCATCAACATGAGGAATAGCATCTTCTTCAACATGAGGAATAGCATCATGACGGAGTACTATGGCGCTAGCGTTGATATGATCTTCATTGGGTTGGCTACTTGGTGGTTGGCTAGAAGAATTGGGGACATACACCTCGGCACTGTCATCATGCATGGGGGAGGATGCATTGCGGTTGAGATCAATTTGCAAAGGAGGAGGATCAACCTTTGCGGCAAAGATCTCAAGAGACTTGTCTTGTGATGCGTCTACTTTTTCCTTGTACACATTCCAATGCAATTGGGAGGTGATGGGCATACTCTTTAATCGGGACTTTACTCCCAATCCAACGTCATACCTCCCAATAAGCTTAACCTCGGCATTTGGGTCATTCCAATGTAAGACGCTTCTCACTTGAACTACAAATCAAAGCTTGGACTTGTGTCAAAAACCATAGCCTCTTCCCCTTCATCATCATTTCCAAGCATAAATGTCGACTTGTCCAAATAATGAACGTTTACGAGCTTATGCATCTAAGAAAATGGGAAGAATATAATCAATCCATATATGTCATCCAACCAACACAAATGGACAAATGAACGAAATTTTGCATAACTACTATTCATACTAAAGTTAACCTAACAATTAACCACTAACCCTAACCATAACCCCTAACATAACCACTATAACCCTAACCCCCAACATAACCACCAACATAATTACCCAACATCCCTAACCCTAACCCTAACACCAACCCCTAACATAGCCACAACCCTAGCCATAAATGCATCATAAATGCACACAACAACATCAACACCTAGGGTTTGCAATAAATTAACCAAATCAACACAAAACAAAGATCTCAACCAATCAAAAGAAGGGGGAATGGGGGAGGTACCTTGGGTGATGAAAATGCTCCGGATCCACCGATGAAATCCCAAGCAAATGGAGTGGATCTAGGGGGGGGGGATTGTGAGGGGGAGAGAGGGGGAAGAGGAGCTGAGCACGGGGAAGAAGATGAGTGGGGAAGAAGAGTGGTGGTGGGGCCCACAAACCAGCCCCTCCCCACCTTATCCAGAACACAGGACCCTACCGCCAGAGGTTATGGCGGTAGGCTCCAGTAACCTACCGCCGTAGGGGATGGCGGTAGGCCCTTTTCCACGTCAGCGGCTGCCAACGGCCGTCAGTCGCCGTCAAATGGCCTACCGCCGTAGGCTATGGCAGTAGGGCACGCAATCCTACCGCCAGGCCCTCTGGCGGTAGGCAAAAGGGTCAGATCCCGAAATTTTTCCGAACTGGGGTCAGATCCCGATTTTCTTTTCACAAAGGGTCAAAACACGAAATTTGGCCACCAACGGAGGAAGGAGATGAAAGCTGGTGGCTTCCACTGGAAGACTGGCCACCGGCCCCACATGTCATCGTCTGCAAATCTACTGGTTTCTGAACACGAGTGCATGTGAATCCTACTGTATAATGGAAATTAGTGAAAATCGTACACCAACCATTTCAAAAATGATGTCCACACAATCATAAATGTTGACGACAGGAAGAAATGGAGCATTTTTATAGCCGAGAAAAATAAACAAAAGTTGTTGTGCAGAAATGTTTAGATACTGAGCACGAACTACAAATGAGCATACACTTTTCCAAAGTTCACATGTTGTGTGTTGTCTTGCAGGATTCTTCTCACAATTTTTTATGTTCTCCTAGTCGATATGAACCCAAGATGAGGTTATGATTTTTCTGAATAAATATTGACATTGGCCTCCTGTTGTGAAGGACTAGTCCATGAGAAGGATATCCCCGGCCTCTGTATCATCACAATGATGCATGCAGCCATAGTCCATGAGTCCATGGTAAGCCGAAGGTTCAAAGTCCGGAAAATGTAACAAGATACACTAAACTGGCACAGCATGCATTGTACCGTAACAAACTAGTACTCCCTCCGCCCAGAAATACTTGTCGGAGAAATGAATGAAAATGAATGTATTTACAACTAAATTGCGTCTAGATACATTCATTCCTCCGACGAGTATTTTGGGACGGAGGGAGTACTAGTAAAATTCAGGTACGTGGATAGTTTGCTTTCAGGTTTAGACTGGATTTGGCTTGGATTTAGCGAAAAAATACAGGTATTAGCATGTTTTGGCCCATGTCATTAGAACTTTGACTCACTTGGTCCCCCTCATCTTCGATTCCTGCCGCCGCTGCTGCTGTAAACATAAGTTTAAAATGAGGAACAGGAGACGTTAATAGTGTAAAGCTAATTTGCGTTTTACTCGAGAAACTGCCACAATGTTGCATCGGCGACTCTTATGACTTACTCGAGCCAAGCTACCAACATGATTGAAAACTTAACTTTTGCAGCCACTATCCCAAGCACCTTACCTCAACGACGCAGCGCCTCTTGCACCTTTGGCTTCTGCAAGTCACTCCAGTAGTCAAGCCAGTAGCAGATGTGTTAAACGTCTCCACTGGAAACCACATGGAGTTTGGAATCAAAACAAAGCCACATTCCTGGTCTTCCAAAGGGTACAAAAAAAAAGGCTATAATTTTTGCCAATTGTTTCCTCCCAACCTGGGAACTGTCCCAGCCACACACCAATTTGACCGAAAGCATTAGGTGGAGAAATCAGTATCAAAAAACACTGAAACAAACCCTAAATACATCTTGCCCAAGGACAGCTGAAGAAAAGGAGGTCAATACTCTCATCTATTGCACATCACCAACCGATCCTCCCTTCAACACGTTGTCCTTGGTAAGGATTCTCCTCCACATCAACAGACACTGCCAGATCTCAGTTTTCAGAGGAAGCGAGC